GATTCCTCCATTGATGCTAAGGAGAGGTACATTGGCAAAGTCTCCACAATTGTCAATAATTAATATTCCATCATATACAAGGTTATACCAATCAATATCCGAGTGGGTCAGAGCCATAATTTTCTGTGACCAACGTCCTTTATTGAGATCCCAAAAGGAGCCAGACTTGGGCAAGTGTGAAATAAACCACTTGTATAAAAAAGGTACACAACAGGTAATCATTCCTCCATCATGAAAATTTCTGAGATGAATTGAATGGTAAGCATCAGCTAGCAGAGTGAGTACTAGATTATTCTTCATGAAAGCTTTTATGGCATTAAGGTCAACAAATCCTTCAAAGCATGGGAACAGGAACACTCCATAGCTAAGTAAGGTGAGGATTGCTTCAAATGCGTTCATGCTCATATGATCGGTGTAGTATTGAGCTTTTTTTATCAGGAAGTCTGTTGTTAATCCAAAAGTTCCACCTTTAGTAATCATGTTGTCTTTAATATTAGATAACTTCAGATATGTAGCTTTGGCAATGTCTTGTTCTTTAGGGTCCTTCTCTAGGAAAGGGAAAGGAGACTCATCCAAAATGGGCAAACCAACTAACTAAGAATACTCTTCTAAGGTAGGCACAAGCTGATAGTCCGGGAAAGGAAAGGAGTGATAATTCGGATCATAGAATTGTAGTAGGTTAGAAAGAAGTCCACTGTCCACCTGAATCTTCAATAATGATAAGAGCTTCCCATACTTGTTTCTGAACTTCTCTTGATCTTCAATCAGAGCTCCTAACTTCCTTAGGTTATCCAATTTAAGACTCTTGAAAGAATATTTCAAAGTATTTTTCCTTTTGCAATCCATAATGGTCCTGCAATGTTTATAAATAAAATTTGAATTCCATGAAACCAATGCAATATGATGCTTATGAATGCAAGGATGTAGAAATACAGATAAGCATAGATACACATATACAAACAAACAGAAAAGCCTAGGTTTGTAAGCAAAGAGAATGGAGTAAAGGGTATACTCATCCCCAAAGGGTGTGGACTAAGGGTTGAATGTACCTGCAGAATAAAGGTTCTCAAAGTCATCAGTCCATCTTTAGGATATTATCAATTTCCAAAATACATGGTATTTAATAATATTCTCAAGAGAACCTCTTTTGAGTGTAGTATCGCATATCAACTACTTTGGGATTACTCCCTCATAGTCATCACATTACGTCATAAGAAAGGCCAAGTTAAGTTAAGGGTAACTAAAGGTTCCCAGTGTCACGGGCTCCTAGGTCGAAAATAGTAAGTGTTTTTATGAATACTCGTTCAACAATACCATTCCCAAGAGGGCCTCAACTGAGCGGTGATTCTCAAGTCAGCTTGGTCGGGAATCAACTCCATATAAGCCTTCTCAAATATATCACCTTCCTATCATAAGTACACTCAAGTCCGGGTGTATGACTTATATCACCACACAAGGATATAAACCCAAAACAAATAAGCAAATAAGCAGATATATACAACAATAAACACAAATAAATAAGTTAGGGGAACCCACGAAATTATGAATATCCCTAGTGAAGTCGCCATTTCTGTCGTGGTGAGAATTGGATAACAAGCTATTGGTTAACTTGAATCACAAATCATATTCACCCCAGGTCTTTAATTTGTCTAAGGGAAGGGAAAAAGATCGAATTACCCAAAAGTATGCAATGCAATGCAAACCTATAGAGTCTAAGGTTAGGGGGTTGGTTATACTAAGGGAAGGTGCTAGCATCCTAAGCATCTGTAGCACTCTACAAGAACCTCTTATTTTATTGTGTTATTGTTGTTTATTAAGGGAGAAACACCTAGGGGTTTATTTCTAAGTATACTTGCCAAGAAATCACATCTTGTGCCTACGTATCCTGATGGGAATGGAATCAGAGTATTCGTAGTTCCCCTAAAGGGACGACGAACCATTGATTGTGGTCAAAGTTCCAGGAGGGAAGTTTGTTGATTGATTCTAGGAGAAGAGACAAATCTTCATCTTAGGGAGAATACTCAACTTAACCACCATAATCATATGGAAGATGGTCTTTACTTCACTTTAAGAGAAGGGCTTCAACTCGGATTTAATCGACGAATATGCCACATACCTCTCTCAAGCGGAAAAGATTCTACATCTTTCTCGACTATGTTATGGATAGGAGAATTGCATCTCGACTACATAGATGAATCATGTCTAATTGTCTTGTGGGGAAAATAGGATTTAATTGATAGGTTGTCTAAGTTGAAGTCTTAAGGGTACCTATCTTAAGAATATAAGAATGACCTAAGCTGATCAACCTGAAAAGTCAGGGATCAAGCGGGGAAAATGATGCAGATGAATAATGCATTGTATACAACTTACAAAAGTTATATGCAGGTTCTTCCCTTGGACGTGCATGCACAAATATATAGGTTCTTCCCTTGTAGTCTCCTTTGATATCTGTTGAAGAACCTTATCACCAAGGCTATAAAAAATTGCGCTGTGGGCTTTCTCAATCATGACCGTCTTTTCTTTTGTCGTTAACGCATCGTCCATGGATGCCTCTCCCTTCAACACTTCCAAACAACCCTACTAAACTAGTAGGACTTTGATCTTCAAGCGCCACAGACCGAAGTCGTTCACTCCGGTGAACTTTTCAATCTCATACTTTATTGAAGGCATCTTCTCCATACTTACAACACCAATTTGTTGTGAATAGAGTGCCTTGAAATAAAATATAAACAGTTTCTTTATATTCAAGAAACACACAAGGGTTAAGGTTAACAAAGAAAACAAGAAAGAAAAATAAGAAGAAACAACAAGGATTGGTTATAAACTACTATTTTTTCCTTTATCTATCAAACAAGATTACAAGTATACAAGAATAACAAATAACCTCTCTCTCTTGAATTAAGATTTTATCTTCCTATTTTTCCTTATGCAAGGTGAGAGACTAGCATGCTATTTATAAGGAAAAAAAATAGTACACTAACCTAATGGGTTTTTCTAACAATTACCCATTACAAGCTAACTTAGAGTACAAGCTAACTTAAACAATTGGGCTTACAAGCAAGGCCCAATTCAACATTTTAACAAATCTAGTAATATTGACTAATGCATGTTAGAACAAATTTTGACTACAACACGTATTACTCGCGAACAGACTTCAACCATACTAGAGTTCGATCTAATATCTCACATGTTTGTTCTTAGAAATTCTATCTATAGTTTCAGAGTTTTATTGGAGTTGACTTTATGATAATTCCATCATATGTTCAAGAGCCCTTATAAAAATTAGATTCAAGTTATGGATGAATAAATGAAATCACTTAAAAAAATAGGACTTGAGAAATTGTTGAGAGACAAATAGGTAAGAAGGCAGTTGATTGCAAGTTTATTTATACTATGAAACAGAAGTCAAATGTGACTTTTGACTGTTACATATGCATGCTAGTGGCAAAACGACATACTCATACATATGACATTGATTATGAAGAGACATTTTCTATAGTGACAAAGATGAATATTATATGTATACTATTATCTCTCATTGCTCACTCTAGTTGGGAGCTACATCAATTTGATGTAACAATAATAATTTCTTTTTATAGGGAGATTTAGAAGAGAAGGTGTATATGGAGATTCCACTTTACTTTGGTCTTATAGGTGGAGCCAAGAATATGTCCTGATTGAAGAAGGTTTCATATGAATTAAAGTAATATCATTGGGTCTGGTTTGAAAGACTCATAAAGGCCATAATGTGTTTGGGCTATAAGAAAAATCAAGGTTATCACATTGTGTTCTTCAAACATTCACAAGTAGAAAAATTAACTATATTTCTTGTTTAGGTTGATGATACTAATGTTACATGTGATTTTTTGACTGAGAAACACCTACTTAAATAAAATTTATCATCAAAGTTTAAGATAAAAGACCTTGGACAACAAAAATATTTCTCAAGAGTCGAGGTAACCTTCTAAAAAAAGACATATTTATCTCTTAAAGGAAATATGTGCTTGATATTTTGCAAGAAACAAAAAAAAATGTATGCAATCTAACAAGTGTTCCCATTTAGCAAAATTATAGGATAATTGAGATGAAAGTGCCAAAGTTGAAAAGGATAAGTATTAGAGATTAGTGAGAAAGTTGATTTACTAGACACGTACTTGACCAAATTTGACATGTCTAGTTAATGTGGTCATCCAATTTTTGCATGATTTAAAGGAGATACACTTGCAGATTATATAAAGTGTTCTACAATATCTCAAAGCCTATGTAAAAAAAAGGGGTCTTGTTTAAAAAGGTAGAAGTTTAATTATGGAAGCTTACACTAATGACGATTACAAAAGTTCAGTAAGTGATAAAAGATCTATTTCATGCTATTGTACGTTTCTATGTGGGAACCTTGTTGTTTGAAAGAGTAAGAAACAAAGTGTTGTTGCTCGAGCTAACATTGATGAAGAATTATGATCTATCACACAAGGAATTTGTGAATTATTGTGAATGAAATAAGTATTAGAAGATTTGAAGATCCACTCTGAAAGCTTTACGAAAGTATTTGGGATGATAAATTGCTCATTAGTAATGCCCATAATCTTATTCTGCATGATAAGACTAAACACATTGAACTTGACCAATATTTCATTAAAGGAAAAATGAATAATGAATTGATAACTATAACCTACTTTCATTCTAAATATCGGTTACTAAAAGTGTTTATGAATGGTTTACCGACATAACACTTCAACCAATTTATTTGCAATTTTAAAATGATTAATATTCATTCACCAATTTAAAGAAAAATATTGTAAATATTAGACGGTAAATATCAATTTATAATATTGCTATGAGAAGAATTATTTTTGGCATTGTAATTACAACTTCCAACAATAAATATTTTTTATAAAAAAAAAACAAGACAAATTTAATCATCGAAGGACATTAATTTGGTTGAAATATATCATCTACGAATGTTTCAAACCAATGATATGACATTTTTTTAGTAATCTTTTCTATAATTCATCATGATTTTTCCCCTCTACTACAGGCAACTCCTGATGAAGTTTGGCAAGATACTTGGCAGCTAATGAGGCGTGAAGCGCAGCACCATAAGGAAGCACATCTTCATTGACTTTGAAATGGGGTGAGTGTCCAGATGGAAGATGTTCAACTGAGACATCCTCCATTCCGAGGAGGAAGATGTAACCCGGCAAAGCCTCTTGATAGAACGCAAAGTCTTCTGATCCCATCATTGGTTCTATGCCTTTAACTTTATCTGCACCGAGTAAACTCTTGGCGACACTTTGAAAATAGTCGTGCAAGTCACCATTGTTTACAGTTGGAGGGAATAAAGGCTTCTCCTCATCAAGGAAGCTGACTGTTGCATTGCATCTCTGCACAGCAGCTTGTCCAGTAATAACCTACATCATCAAAACAGCTTTAACGCCTAAATAGGATAGCAGTGATAACAATAATAAAGTGTACATTCTACATATTTCTGTAATCCATGCAAGTTTTTAAGTTACATGAAAAGAGACACATAAAATGAATCTATTCTTATTCATAACAGACCTGCTCAATGCGGTGTCTCATTTGCGTGAAGCTTTCCCTCGAAAAAGATCGGAAGGTACCACCAATTGTGACAGAGTCTGGAATAACATTCAATGCAGCACCTCCTTGAAATTTTGCTACAGTCAAAACCTGTGAGGATTTTATTCATGTTAGGAAGACATAGGGGACAAGTGTTTTCATCATATTCAAAAATCTTTGTAAGCAAATAATGTTGTGGTATGGTTTTCAACACTTTTCCCTTCAAAGCTTTTAATACTTCAAACAATGATGAGTCTGTAACAAGCACGCGGTCTCAAGTTAAGTCAAGTGCCAAATTCAGAAAGAAGTTGCTTTGACAGGGTGGTTGTATACCTGAGAGTCGAGGGGATCAGCTTCGCGAGAAATGATATGCTGTAAGCTAACAATGACATTGGAAGCTGCCAATATAGGATCTATAGAATGTTGAGGAATTGCCGCATGGCCACCCATGCCGCTTATTATTGCTTCAAAGAAGCCACTTCCTGCAAACTGAGGACCAGACCTAGACGCCACTTCGCCTAGAGGCAAGTTATATAGGACATGCAATCCAAAAATGGCAGAGACATTTTCTAATGCTCCAGCATCTACAATTTTCTTAGCCCCACCACATCCTTCTTCTGCAGGTTGAAAAACAAGAACAACAGTTCCCTATACCCAAAAAACCAAGAATTATATCACAGATCCGCAATAGGATGAAACCAGAAGAACATGGTAGTTAAAAGAAATCATACGAAAGAGTTAAAATTTGGCACCAGTTTGCCAATATGGAAATGTAGGAAATAGAATTCAAGTTTGACTTTTGGCATCATTAAGTTAAAAAAACACAAACAACTTAAATAGCAAAAGTGCATATTAACCGAAAACAGAAAATACAGTAACTTTAAATGTAGATAGAAAATAATTTTGTTCCCAAACCATACTTGTAAATATTTTTCTTGCTCCTTGAGGATCTTTGCAGCACCAAGAAGCATAGCAACATGAGCATCATGACCACATGCATGCATCTTTCCAGCTACTTTACTCTTATGCTCCCATTCCACCAATTCCTAATGTTATCAGCAACACCAAAAATCATCAATAAATATATATGATAGAAATTAAAAACCAAAACATTGAAAAAACAATAAAAAAATGTAGACCTGCATAAGAAGTGCATCCATGTCAGCTCTAAGAGCAACAAAAGGAGGAAGACGAGTTCCTATGTAACCAATAACGCCTGTAACTGCTACTGGATGTTTATACTGAATACCCAATTCATCCAACTTGGCTCTTATAAGCTTACTGGTTTCAAATTCCTCATAACACACTTCTGGATTCTCATGAATCTTCCTCCTAATATCAACCATCCAATCAAAGACTTGAGGCTCTTTGGCTAAATCTAGAAAGTTTGGGATTGAATTTGAATTTGAGAAGATGGGCGTTGCAGTTAAAAGGCAATTGAAAATGATGATGAACAAATTTACCCATATGAAGAAAGCCATGAGTGGATTCATATTCTTGAGTTGAGAAATGGAAAAGCTATACAACTGAAGTAAAATTGATTTGAAAATGTTGGAAATTAAATAAGAAACTTTATATATATGGAAAGAAATTAGTATCTCCCTCCACAGTTATGTGCATCTTTAATAAAATTGTAGATATTACTAAAAAAACTTATCTACATCCAATGAATTTATCTAGATTAAATTAAATGTATAACGAGTAGTTTATTAAGGATAAAATTTATTAAATATATCAATTAACATCTTTAAACTCCATCCATAAAATTATTTTTAATTTTTAATTTATTGCAATAATTTATTTTATTTTTAAAATTTCTCAAAAAATATTTTAAATATATTAAGGATACAATTTATTAAATATATCAATTAACATGCTGATTCATTCTCAATGCAGTTGTCTTGCAAATTGAGCGTAGGAGATAGTATTTCTTTCTGGTACTCTCGTTGGCTTGATTTGTGTCCTCTTCGTTGTAGATTCCCGGAATTGTATAACTTGGTTGAAATTAAATATGAGACTGTGTTGGAGTTTGGGTCGTGGATGAATCTTGAGTGGCAGTGGAAGCTCGGGTCCTAGGAACTTTTGTTGGACGAGGTTCAGGTTGAGCAGTACATCGAATTAAAGGAACTGTTGTTGGAAGTGTCTCCAAGGATAGGTGTTGAAGATGGCTTTACTTGGCCAAATGTGTTGACTAATGTTTTTCGATGAAAACATGTTACAAGTTCATGCAGAAAGCGAATGGGTATGCGATATTGGAAATTAATTCAAAGACTGCTCTAGAATTATTGTGGAAATCTAGGATTCTAATGAAAGTGAAACTGTTTGGGTGGATGCTTATATTGGATAAATTACCGACATGGTCGAATCTGAAGGTCAGAGGGTAATTACTAATATTCATGACATTGTTTCTGTACTCTGTTTTTGTGAGGGCAAGTAGTCACACAACATGTATTCTCGAGTTTCGATGATGACAAAGTTCAACCTCGGATCAATAAGGAGCTGTCAATTTTGCCCAAAAGGCAATTGCAATATTTTGTAATATTTAACACATCATATCCTTCCCATATTTCTTTAATTCATCATATAATCATTTGCAAAACACGTGATAAATATTAAGTCGTGACAAAACGCACGAAGCAACAAATGATGATTTTTTGCAGGTTTTACAGCTCTGAGTCGACCATACCAATCAGCACACATCCAGTCAACTTTTCCACTGGTCAGCGCATGGACACCATGAGTCGACCATTAGTCAGCGCATGAAGCCTTCACAATTCTCATGGGTCAGCGCGCGCCGACCTATGGTCGACGCATACTGTTGAATTTTTAACATTGCTAAAATCTGCAGGTCATGCGTCGACGCATGGACCTGTTATGGTCGACCGTTCGCGCGTTGTTAAGTATTTTTTCACTGTTTGAAATCCTGTTGTGTTAATTATATGACTTACTACTATAAATAGAAGATTGTTTATTTTTATCAACTAACAATTACATTCTAAGTATATTATGAAAACTAGAAAAGTGAAACAGGTGCTACATTTCTCTTCATCTTCATCCTCAAACAACACACAACACTGCAACTACACACAACCATTTTTGGAGTGCTTTGTGTCTTGTTCAAGGTGATAGGGTTCAAATCCGTTGAGGAAAAGTCCGGTTCGGGTGGAGACTTTTGGCGGGTTTTTCTTGAATAAAACCTTGAAGGTTTTGCCCTCTAAGATTCTACGATTTTGGGGGTTTTTGGACGAGATTCTTCATCAAGGGTCAGCTGAGCGAAGGTGATTGTGAAGAGGAATTCTTCAACAATCTAGTAGCAGAATCAGTGATATTGAAAGGAAGATCTCGGGTTCGATTTGTTGTAGTTGAGATCAGTCGGGCCGAAGGTTTGAAGAACTGAGGGTTATTCAATAAAGGGGTTGGAATCAGAGGTCTATCAACAACGATCAGAGGACTTGATTCATCTTGAATCAAGGGGCAGGGAGTGGAAGCAACATTCAACATCTTGAGAATTCTATTGTTAATTTGCTTTTCAATCCTTGTATAAACTGTTACTTCCAACAGGTGATATCTATTAAATCAATCTCAATTCTAGTTTTAGAATTGAGGGCAGACGTACCCCAAAGCGAGGACGACGAGGAAACTGCCTCAACAAATCTTTGTCTTCTCTATTTTTTCAGCATTTTCGTTTTACCTCAAAAATAAGTGATTTTCGGATAAGCACTATTGTCAAATTGTGATATCAATTGAGTAAGAGGTTGAAACTCTGTTTTTGAATCCAAAGTACAATAAGACATTGTACTAGGCTAGTTGGAATCACTTACTCAACATAAATATCACTTGGAGTGTTTTTGCACACCAGGTGTTCGACAATTTGCCTGAACCAAAATTATCTTATTTATGCATCTAGTTTTGGTCTGCTCTTTAAATCATTGGAACTAGCAATACTAAATTGTGTGAAACAAATTGATTAGTGTGACTAGTGTATTGAATCTATTTTTCTTTTATTATCATATCCATTAGCTTAACGCATATCCGATCCTCCAATAACGGTTCGTTTTAGACGAGTTTTTCCAAGGCCGCTTCCGCATTTCAAAAACATTTTTAAAACCAATTTTAAATTGGTAAGCGCCGAATCAAATTTTAATTGGGATCTATTCAACCCCCCTTCTAGATCCTAGCCATCGTCTAACAAGTGGTATCAGGAGCACCAGTTCACTCCGTGCTTCAAGTATAACTTTGATAGATAATGGCAAACGAACCTAAAGGGGCTTATAATAGAGCTCCCGTTTTTAACGGTGAAAATTACGGTTATTAGAAGGATTGTATGCGGGTGCACATAAACTCCATAGATAGAAAAATATGGAACGTTATCCTCAATGGTCCAATAGAAATTACTATGACCAATGCGGATAATATGGTTGTGCCTAAACCCGAAGCACAATGGACCGAAGATGATGAAAAGAAATACAATTATGATTGGAAAGCTAAAAACATCTTAATATCCTCATTAGGAGTTGATGAGTATTACCGTGTGTCTCATTGTCCTACGGCAAAAGACATGTGGGATGCACTCCAAATCGCTCATGAGGGGACAAACGATGTGAAGTTAGCTAGAATCAATACTCTAACACAAGAGCTTGACCTTTTCTACATGGAGCAAGGGGAAACCATTGTGGACATGCAGAAAAGGTTTACTCATCTCATCAATAGGTTACATTCACTTGGTAGGCCGGTGGCCAATGACGTTGCTACTAATAAAATTTTAAGATGTTTAAACAGGGAATGGCAGCCCAAGGTGACCGCTATAAAAGAAGAAAACGATCTTACTATTTTAGACCTAACAACGTTATTTGGAAAGCTATAAGAGCACGAACAAGTGCTCCTAAGCCTTGACCAACATGAAAAGAAAGAAAAGAAGGATAAAACAAAGAATGTTGAGAAGAAATCAATCGCTCTCAAGACTTCTTCCTCGAAGTCTCAATCCAAGGAGCAAAGTGATTATTCATCTAGTGACAATGAAGAAGAGGACAAGGTTGAGGATATGGCGCTGTTTGTAAAAAGATATAATCGGTATGTGAGAAAGAACGACATTCAACACTCAGAAAAGAACCATGTCAACTTCAAAAAACAATCAAGGAATTCTCGAAATAGCGACACCAAAGGAAGTAAAACCAGAGGATCGTGCTATAAATGCGGAAAGCCCGGTCACTACAAGCCAAATTGTCCTTTGAACAAAAAGGGCAAAGAGGAATCTACTAAATCACACAAGAATTCGTCAAAACCAAGAAGAGGGTATATAGCTTGGGAAAGCGACAGGGACTCCTCCTCTGATGAAAGCTCTAGTGATGAAGAAGAGTCTGTGAACCTATGCCTTTCTGCACATCAGAAAAATAAGAAAAAGCAGGTAAAATGTGTTGAGACCACTGAGAGAAGATGGGTTCTCGACAGTGGATGTTCAAGACAAATGTCTGGAGACATATCCCTATTCATAGACTTCGTGGCTAAGAAGAAAGGGTATGTAACATATGGTGATAACAATCGTGGAGCAATACTTGGTAAAGGTAGTGTAGGTAACCCCTCTTCCACTACGATTTCCGACGTGTTGCTTGTCGAGGGCCTTAAACATAATCTACTTAGCATTAGCCAATTATGCGACAAAGGATACAATGTATCTTTTTCAAAAGAGTGTTGCAAAATTGTGCATGATAATGACAAGAAGAATATGTTTAATGGCTTTAGAGTAAACAACGTCTATATGCTTGACTTAAATGAAGTATCGTTAACAAGTGACAAATGCCTCATAACAATGAGTGAAGATTCATGGTTATGGCATAGGCGCTTAGCACATGTTAATTTTGAATTGCTAAATAAATTAGTTTCAAAAGATCTAGTCCTAGGTCTTCCCACAATAAAATTCATCAAGGATCACCTTTGTGATGCTTGCCAAATGGGAAAGCAAATGAGAATATCTTTCAAATCTAAAAATATTGTTTCTACCACAAGACCTCTCGAGCTTCTCCATATGGATTTATTTGGGCCTTCTAGAATCAAGAGCCTAGGCGGAAACTATTACGGTTTTGTAATAGTGGACGATTATTCTAGATTTTGTTGGACTATATTTTTGGCTAGCAAGAGCGATACATTCGTCGCCTTTAAAAAATTTGCCAAACTTTCCCAAAATAAGTTAAGTACAAACATTGTGTCAATTAGAAGTGACCATGGAGGTGAATTTGAAAACCATTTATTTGAAGAATATTGTGGTAACTACGGTATCGATCATAACTTCTCCGCTCCACGAACTCCTCAACAAAATGGGGTGGTGGAGCGCAAAAATCGTATTTTAGAAGAATTGGGAAGGACAATGATCAATGAAAGTGGTCTACCGAAATATTTTTGGACTGACGCCATAAGTACGGTGTGTTATGTTTTGAATAGGGTGCTCATCCGCCCCATTCTAAACAAAACACCCTACGAGCTTTTAAAAGGGCGTAAG